CAGACTTGACTCATTCCTGATCTTAGAGGAAAATCATTCTTTCTTTCACTAATTGGTATGATGTTAGCTGTAGATTTTTTTAACGTTGTTTATCAGATTGAGGCAGTTCTCTACAATTTCATTTGTTGAGTGCTTTTTAACATTAATGGATGTTGGATTTCCTGAAGTAATTTTTTTATATCTACTAAAATAGTTATGTGATTTTTATTCTATGTTTTATTGTTATGGCATGTTACATTAAGTATTTTTTTAGTGTTAAGCCCACCTCACATTCCTCAGATAAATCGCACCAAGTCATGGTGTATTTCTTCTTTATATGGTGCTGTAATCAGTTTGCTGGTATTTTATAGAGGATTTTTGTACCTATATTAATAAAAATTAACTGACTTTAGTTTTCTCGTGGATGTCTTTATCTGTTTCTAGTATAAGGGTAACACTGACCTCATAGAATGAATTGGGAAGTATTCCTACCTCTTTTTATCCCAGCTTTATTGAAATATAATAGACAATTAGTTGCTCATATTTACATTGTACAATTCAATGAGTTTTTTTAAAATTATAGTTGGCATACAACAATATACCAGTTATAGTTGTACAGCCTAGAGATCAGAGATCCACACAACTTGCAGAGCAATCACCCACTAAACCTAGTACCCCTTACGTATTTATTACAACATTATTAACCATCTTCCCCATGCTACACTCTACATCTCCATGTCTATTCTGCAACTATCCATTTGTACCTCTTAATTTCTTTGCCTTTTTTTTCCCATCCCAAACCCCCTCCCATCTAGTCGCCCTCAAAAGAGTCTCTATGTCTATGAGTTTATTACCATTTTGGTTGTCATTGTTTATTTTGTTCTTTAGATTCCACATGTATGTGAAATCATGCTATATTTGTCTTCCTCTATCTGACCCATTTCATTCAGTGCAATACCCTCCAGGTCCATCAAGGCAGTATCTTTCTCCAACCCATTTCTTTTAGTCTGTGTATATCTTTTAATCTGAAGTAAGTCTCTTGTAAGCAGCATATGTAGGGGTCTTGTTTTTCTTATCCATTCAGCTACTCTTTCTTTTGATTAGAGCTCTTAATTCTTTTCCATTTGAGGTACTTGTTGATAGTAATGTAGTTATTACCATTCTTTATTTCTGTTTTTAATACATGTTTTTTCTTCTTAAAGAAGTCTCTCTGACATTTCCTGTAATATTGGCTTGGTGTTGATAAATTTCTTTAGCTTATTTTGGTCTGGGAAGGTCTTTATCTGTCCTTCGACTCTAAATAACTTTGCTGGATAAAGTATTCTTGGTTGTAGATCCTAGGTTTTCATCACGTCAAATATTTTGTGCCAAGCCCTTCTGTCCTGCATGGTTTCTTTCAAGAAATCAACTGCTAGTCTTATGGGAGCTCCCTTGTAGGTAACTAACTGCTTTTCTCTTGCTGCTTTTAAGATTTCCTCTTTGTCTTTAACCTTTGGCATTTTAATTATGGTGTGTCTTGGCGTGGGCCTCTTTGGGTTCTTCTTTCTTGGGACTCTTTGAGTTTCCCGGGGTTGTATGTCTATTTCCTTCATCAGGTGAGGGAATTTTTCCATTATTTCTTGAAATAGCTCTTCAGTGTCTTGTTTTCTTTCAGGTATCCTTATGACATGGATATTTTTACATTAATAGTGTTCCATAGGCTTCTTAAATTCTTACTCTTGGCTTCTTTTTTCTTGCCATTCTGACCAAGTGTCCTTGGCTTTCCCATCTTCTATATTGGTGGTTCAATCCTCTTCTTTATCCATTCTGTTTATTCCATCTAATATACTCTTCATCTCAGATAATGTGTTCTTCATTTCTGACTGGATCCCTTTTATAATTTCCATTTCTATTTTTCTGTTTTTTTTTTTGTTGTTTTATCTCTTTGTTAAAGTTTTCACTGATTCATCTGTACTTCCCTTATGTTCATTGAGCATCTTTATAACCAGTGTTTTGAATTCTGCATCTGCTAGATTGCTTGACTCCATTATTCCTGAATCTCTGTTCTATTCTCTCACATGTTTTCTGCTTCTTTGTCTTCCCATTTTGCCTGCCTTTCTGTATCTGTTTCTATGTAGTAAGCAAAGCTCTTAAGTCTCCCAGTCTTATTAATTTGGCTTTGTGTGGTAGGTGTCCAGTGGCACAGTACTGAGAGGAGTTCAGCTGCAAGCCTAGTTTAGCCCCAGCATGTATCTCTACAGAGCCACCTGTTAAGATTCAGCAAGCAATCCACAGATGCTGTGCTTATAGTTGCCTCAAGAAACCACACCAGAAACTGAGGCCAGCTGCCACTAGTGCTAGTCTTGGCTCTGCTCATCAAGGAACACATGACTCACCAAGGATACATTAGGATGTGGCTTGGGTGGGGCCATGAGTTGAGGGAGGTGGAATTTCAGGGAAACCTCTGGGCGGAGAGACCTCTGTTATCGTTTGATGACATCTCAGCTATGGCTGCGCTGCATCTGCACACTGGGAGAGAGGAGGTCTCAACAGAAGAACAATGCATACCACTAGCACTTCTGTCCGAGAGAGATCCTTGCCTCTGGCCCTCACTCCAACAACTTGGTGTCCTCCTGTAAGGCTCTGGCTTCCCCACCTCCCACCCCAGCAGCCAACCCAGTGCCGGTGCTCAGAATGAGCAGGTCCGTCACCACAAAAGTGAGTGGACAGGGCTCTTTTAAGAGGTATTTGCAGCTGCTGGCTGCTGCAACCTCTGTCCCACTCAGCATCTTGGGACCAGGCAGCCTCGCATCTTCTCCCTGTCCTACCTTCTACCATTGTAGGGTGACTTCTTATTTCTCTCCCTGTTGTAGGGCTTGTTCATCTGGATCCCAGGTGACTTTCCTTGTTTGCTCCGTGTTTCTGTTACAGCATCGATTTGGTTGCAGGAGGGATGAACAAAGCCTCTATCATCTACACCATGTTTTTTCTTTGCTCCCACCTCTTTTCCTCTTTTATTTTTTTTTCGTGAAGAACTATATTTTGATTTTGTTATCTACATTGTTCTGCAGGAAAAGTAAGACTGTCTTCCTCTTGACAATGTTGTGTTTACAAGTCTAAATAAGGAAGATAGTTCAGAATCAAGAGAGAAAAACCCCAGTTAAGAATCATGAATAGAAAATGGATTTTGCTGTTTTTTATTTTTATTTTTTTTATCTAATTTAGTTGAGAATTCTTTGGTTAAGGACCTCATGGAATATTCATATTATAATAAGCTCAGTAACCTTTAAATAGATTGAAGTATATTTACACATATTTTTTTTGTAGAAATATTTTCATGGTATACTGTTGAGTGAAAAAAACAGGTTATATATCTGATTATACATTATATAATATGTATATGTTCTTATATGTTTTAGAAGAAAATGAGGTTATGCAATGAATTTCTTACACTGTTCTCACTGGGGAATAAGAATTTTAGATGAACTACATGCTGCAGTTTATCTTTCTTTTCATCTTTGAATATTTATAAATATATTTTATTATAAAAATATTTCCATATTTTATTATAAAAATAGTTCTTGGAGCACTAAATACCTGGCTGAACAAGATATAGAATCACTTTTTTTCTGATCTATGTGGTCCTTTATTTCTTTGAAAAGTTATAGCACATTTTATATTGAAATTAATTCCTTTCTAATATTACATAGTCCCTTTTCACATGTTAGTCTTATCTACTTTATGATATTATGAGCTCTTTATATTTTTCTTTTTCTTTCCATTGTGTTATTATGAAAACTTTGAAATGTACAGAGGAGTTGAAAGAATTATAATGTGAACACTCAATTATACTGCATACACATACACACCCATACATACTTACCACCTAAAATTGACAGTTATAATTTTCCTATAATTACTTTATTATACATCTATCCAACCATCTATCTGTATTACTTCTTTGGCTGTATTTTAAAATAAGTTGCACGTGTCAGTACACTTTACCTCTTAAAACTCCAGTTAATGTGTATCATTAACTAGAATTGAATATTTGTTTATAATTTTTAAAAATTTTTTGAGGTACAATTTTCATACAGAGAAATCACAAATTTCATTGTACCATTTGATGAATTTTTTACTAATGTAGACACTTGTGTAATCCAAACTTCTGTCAAAATATATAGACCATTACCTTCACTCAATAAAGTTCCTTCAAACCTCTTCCCAGTCAGTTCTGCTCAAGTTAACCTGATCTTTTTCATCATGGTTTAGTTTTGCTTGTTCAGAATATAATATAAATGTAATCATACTACATGTACTCTTTTGTGTTTTGCTTCTTTTACTTAGCATAATGTTTTGAGAATCTTCCATGTTGTTGCTCCTGTCAGTAGTTTTTATCTTTTAATTGTTGAGCAGTATTCCATTGTATGAGTATACCAGTTTTGGTTTTTGATTTTCTTGTTGGAAACCTGGGCTGTCTCTAGGTTGTTATGTTTAAAGTTGTTAGAGCCGTACTTATACAAACTATTATGTTGGGCATATCTTTTTCATTTTCTTAGGTACATACATATGAGTGGCATTTCTAGGACATAAGCCAGGTATATGTTTAGTTTTATAAGAAACTGTGACATTTTTCCAAAGTGATTGTGTCATTTTACTCCTACCAACAATCTTTGCTAGTAGTTTTGTTGTTGTTGTTGTTGTTGTTGTTGTTGTCGTTGTTGTTGCTTTTTAGGTGAGGCAACCCTTGCTTGACCTCACAGATTGCAAGGACCTTGTCAGCTTACAATCTCTTATTTTTTATTTTTATGTCTACAGCCCCTGGTCTTCCTAGATGGTCTCCCATCCAAGTACTAACCAGGCCCAACCCTGCTTAGCTTCCAAGATCAGATGAGATTGGGCTTGTTCAGGGTGGCATGGCCATAGATGCTAGTAGTTTTCTTTTTAATTAAAATATTTTCATTTTAGTGGTTGGATAGTGGTATCTTGTGATTATAATTTTCATTTCCCTGAAGACTGTTTTTATGTTTGCTCTCTTTCAGACAGTTCGGCATGGTTTTCCTTATCAGCCCACAGCATTAGCTTTTGATCCAGTTCAGAAAATCTTGGCCATTGGGACAAGAACAGGTGCTATACGAATGTATCCTTAATTTTTGGTTCATTATTTGCTCTAATAATACTAATTACATTTCCTTAATAACTCAGGTAAGTGAAATATTTATGACCAGATAAAGTTTGTTGTTTGTTTAGAAGCAAGTAACAACTGTGAAAATGCATTGTCAAATTTCTTGGCACATATTTAATGTCTCTGATATAAGTACTGATGCTCCTTCTTTAGTTCCTGATATTGGTAATTTTGTCTCCTCTTTTTTTTCCTGATCAGTCTGGATAGAAGCTTATTAATTGTATTGAATTTTAGAAGAACGAACTTTTGGTTTCATTGCTTTTTTGTATTGTTTTCCTATATCCTATTTCATTGATTTCACTTTGGTCTTTTTTATTTCTTTATTTTGCTTAACTTTGGGTTTAATTTAATCTTCTTTTTCTTGTTTCTTAAAGTGGAAACCGAGGTTATTAATTTGAGAATTTTCTTTTCTAAAATATACCTATAATGCTGTAAATTTCCTCCCAAATTTTACTTTAATGTCATTCCATTTTTTTAAATTAAACTTTTTATGTTGAGATAGTTATAAATTTAATTGTAATTGTAAGAAACAGTACAGAGAAATCTCATGTACCCTTTACCCAATTGTAACATCTTATAAAACTATGTAATTTCCAACAGTAACATCTTATAAAACTATAATGTCACAACGAAGTTATTAATATTGATATTGATACTCAAGGTACAGAACATTTCTGTCATCACAAAGATTCCTCATGGTGACCTTTTATAGTCACACCCTATCCCTCTAATTCTCCCACACCCTCACCTGACTCCTGAAAGTCACTAATTTGTTCTTAATTTCAATAATTTATAAAAGGAAATCATATAGTATGTAACATTTTGGGATTGGCTATTTTTTTCACTCAGCATACTTCTCTGAAGATTCATTCAAATTGTTGTATGTATCAGTAGTTCGTTTTTTTTTATTGTTGAGTAATATTCTATAGTATAGATGAAGCACACTTTGTTTAACCATTCACTTATTAAAGAACATCTGGTTTCCAGTTTTTGGCTAATATGATTAAAACAACTGTGAACATTTGTTTGCATGTTTTGTGCAAACATAAGTTTTCTTTTGTTATAGATATCCAGGAGTACAGTTGGGGGTGTGTTGTATGTTGCATGTTTAGTTTTATAAGAAGATGCCAAATTATTTTCCAGAGTAGTTGCAACATTTTACATTCCCAACAGCAGTGTGAGTGATCCTATATCCCCACATCAATACCAGCATTTTGTTATTTTTATTTTTTATTTTAGCCATTCTGATAATTTTTTAGTGATATCTCATTGCGGTATTCTTATTTATTCTAATTACTAGTTCTTTGTCTGATATATGGTTTGCAATTATTTTCTTCCAGTCTTTAACTTGTCTTTTCATCCTCTTAACAAGATCTTTCAGAGACCAGTTGATCAGTTTTTACTTTATAGATTGTGTTTTGGTATCACCTCTTAGTACTCTTTTCCTAACTTTGCATTTTAATTTTTTAAAAATTATTTTTCTAAGAATTCTGTAGTTTTCCATTTTATATTTAGATATAGGTTCTATTTTGTCTGGTTTGGGTATTGGGTAATACCATCTTTGGAAAGTGAATTGGGAAATGTTCCCTCCTCTTCTGTTCTCTGGAAGAGATTGTGTAAGATTGGTGTTAATTTTTTTAATTTTCGGTAGAATTCTCTAATGAAATTACCTGGGTCCGCTGACTATTGTATGAGAGATTTTATATTACAAATTCAACTTATTTACATTACAAATACAAGATTTTATATTATGAATTCAACTCATTTAAAAGTTATGGGGCTATTTTGGTTTTCTATTTTATTTTAGCTGAATTTTGGCAGTTTGTAGTCAATCTTACTAGTGGTTTACAAATCTTACTGAGTTTTTTTGAGGAACCAGCATTTGATTTAATTGATTTTCTCCATTTTTAAATTTTAAGTGAGGTTTAATTGAGGTATAATTGACACACAACATTGTATTAATTTCAAGGATAGACTTTATTTCTTTTCTTTGCTTATTTATGAACTTATTTTGATCTTTTTTCAAATTTCTTAAAGTACGAACTTAGATTATTGATTTGATATACTTTTTCTTTTCTAAGGTATGCATTTAGTGTTATTAATTTTCCTCTCAGCACTGTTTCAATGGGTCCTACAAATTTTGATACACGTGTTTTAATTTTCATTCAGTTATACGTAGTTTTAAAAATTGCCTTTAAGACGTTTTCTTTGAACCATGAATTTCTTAAAAGTGTTTTATTTGGCAAATATTTGGATATTTTCTTCTTGTCTTTCTGTCAATGATTTCTAGTTTGATTTCATTGTGGTAAGAAAATACACTATATAGTTTTAATTCTTTTAAATTTGGTAAGGTTTGTTTTATGACTTAAGATATGATCTGTCTTTGTGGATGCTCTATGGACTCTGGAGAAAAACATGTGCATTCTTTCATATTGAGTAGAATGTTCCATTTTGTCAACTAATCTATACTGGTTGCTTGTGTTGTTTAGTTCTATATCTTTGCTAATTTTCTGTCTGATAATTCTGTCAAATCCTAAGATTGGAGTAAATTAGGTTCTCCAACAAAATTCTGGATATATTTATTTTTCTTTTCAGCTTTATTTGTTTTGCTTTCTGTATTTTGAGGCTCTTTGGTTTGGCATGCACACATTTAAGATGGTTGTCTTCTTGGTGGATTGATCCTTTTATTATTATGTAATGTCTTTATTTGTCTCCAGTAACTTTCTTTGCTCTGAAATATACTTTATTTGATATTAATATACCCACTCCTACTATTTAAAAAGATCGATGTTTGCATGGTATATCTATTTTCATCCTTTAAACTCATCTATGTCATTGTATTTGAAGTGAGTTTATTATAGACAGTATATTGTTGGATCATTTTATTTTTCAGGTATAATTGACATATAGCATTATATTGGTTTCAAGAGTACAACATAATTATTTGATATTTGCCTATATTGTGAAATAATCACACCTATAAGTCTAGTAAACAGGCATCAGAACATTAAGTTTCCATTTTTTTTGTGATGAGAACTTTTAAGATCTATTCTCTTAGCAACTTTCAAATATACAGTACAATATTATTAACTATAGTCACCATGTTGTGCATTACATCCCCAGGTTTTATTTATTTTATAACTGGAAGTCTGTACCTTTTTAAAAAAGATTCATTTATTCATATATTCATTCTGAGATAACCCAATGAGGTCTGTTTCTAAGAAAGTTAAGGGATTAGTCAGGGAGGAAAAATAATTTTTCTGTCTGATGTATTTCACTCAGCATAACGCCTTCAGTGTCCATCTATATTGTTGCAAATGGCAAGATATCCTTCTTTTTATAATTGAATAATATTTCATGTGTATGTGTTTGTTTATATATATTTCACATTTTCTTCATTCATTCATCAGTGAATACTTTAGTTGTTTCCATGTGTTGGCTATTGTAAATAATGCTGCAGCAAGCATGGGGATGCAGATATCTCTTCAAGATATCATTTTCTTAGGATATATACCCTAAAGTGGAATTGCTGGATCATAGGGTAGCTCTATTTTTAATTTTTTGAGGAACCTCTATGCTGTTTCCCACAATGGGTGTACTGATTTATATTCCCACAAAAAGTACATGAGGGTTAGCTTTTCTCCACAACCTCATCAACACTTGGTATCTCTTCTCTTTTTGATGATAGCCATTTTAACAGGTGTGAGGTGGTATCTCATTATGGTTTAGATTTGCATTTCCCTGTTGATTAGTGATGTTGAGCATTTTTTTTATGTACCGCTGGCCAGATGGAGAAACATCTATTTGGATCCTCTACGTACTTTTTTTCCCTGTTGAATTGTATGAGTTCCTTATATATTTTGGATATTAACCTTTTATCTGATATATGGTTTGCAAGTATTTTCTCCCATTTCACAGGTTGCTTCTTCATTCTTTTGTTTATTATTTTGAGTCTTCTCTCTTTTTTCTTGGTTAGTCTAGCTAAAATTTTATCAATTTTGTTTGAAAAAACAGCTTTTAGTTTCACTGAGGTGTTTTTTTTTTTCCCCCTATTGTCTTTGTAGTCTCTATTTATTTCTATTCTGATATCATTTCCTTCTGTTAACTTTGGGCTAGTTTGTTCTTTTTCTAATGTTTCGAGGTATAAAGTTAGTGTGTTCATTTTAGGTCTTTTTCTTAATGTAGTGATAAATGTATCACTATAAATTTTCCTCTTAGAACTACTTTTCCTGAATTCCATAAGTGTTGGTATGTTTTGTTTTCATTTTCATTTGTCTGAAGATACTTTATGATTTTCCTTTTGCTTTCTTCTTTGACCTATTTGTTGTTTAGGATTATGTTGTTTAATTTTCACATATTTATGAATTTTTCATTTTTCCTGCTGTTATTAATTTCTAGTTGAATACCATTGTGGTCAGAAAATATACTAAATATAGTTTTAATATTCTTGCTTTATATGTGTCCCAGCATATGGTCAGGTCCATTTAATGTACAGTGTTATTCAGATCTACTCATTCCTTATAATTCTGTTAAGGATAAAATCTCCAATGTTAATGGGGGGTATTTAAGTCCCCTACTATTATTGTATTGCTGTTTATTTTTCTCTCCCGTTATGTTAATATTTACTTTAAACATTTAGGTTCTCCAATGTTGGGTACATATATATTTATAATTGTTATATCTTCTTAATGAATTGGAGTTGTAATGGGTGTATACCTCTGTATTGTGATCTTTTTTCTTTTATGACTGATTTCAACTGATTCTATTTTATCTGACAAAAGTATAGACACTCCTGCTCTCTTTTGGTTACCATTTACATGGAATAGCTTTTTCTATGTCTTCAATTTCAGGCTGTATGCATCTCTAAAGCTAAAGTGAGTCTCTTGTAGACAGCATATTGTTAGATTTTGTTTTTTTTTTTAATTCATTCAGCCACTTTATTAGTCCATTTATCT